CAACCCGCGGGCTCAGGCAATTCACGCGCCTCCGCCTCCCAAAGTGCTGGGATTACAGGCTGAGCCACCCAGCCCGACCTGTACCCCACATCTTTAAAATAATAATTTTTAAAATTGCCTCACCCCCCCCCCCCAAAAAAAAAAAAGAAATTAACCTCCTCCACAATTTACCAGGTAGCGGGGGGAGAATATTCTTATCAACGTTTTGGAAATGAAATGAGGAAATTCAGTCTTCCAGAATCAAATGACCAACCCTAAACCATCAGCCGAGCGACTTCTCATTTCCGAAACCAGGCTCTTTCTCTGCAAAGGCCCGGCCTTGCCGAAGGGGCCCCAGCCGCTGGGATGGATCGCGAAATCGGCCTTCTGGTAGCTTCCACCGCTGGGCCCGGCCATGCCCTATGAAACAAGAGAATAAAAGAGACGCCTGTCGTCCCCAAAGCGCCTGCCCGCTCCCAAGGCCACCAGGCGGCCGGAGCGTCCCCGGGGTCGGGCTGGGCTCGGTCGCCCAGGCCCAGCGCAGTCCCGCGACCCCCCCCACCTCCAGGCCAGCGGCATGGTATTTTACCCCGCTTTCCAGCCTTGGGGGGGCATGCAAGGATGGCAAGTGGCGTCCCCCAGCGCCCCTCGGTCATCGTTTAGGCATCTCTGGGTGACAACCCAACACGCTCCCCGCGTCCTCTCACCTCTGCTGCCCTCAGTGACCCGACTCTCACCCGATGGGGGGAAACCACGTCCCAGCAGACGCCCGTCTCAGCGTGGGGTGGCAGCGGTGTGCCGCCTCCTGCAGCTCTAGGCACAGACTTGAGACGACTGACCTCACCCCCGGCTCGGAGGCCGCCCTACCCAACCGCCACGCCAACGGTCACCTACCGCGGCCAGAGACTGGACTCGACCCAGCTGGGACCTCTGTCCCGCCCCAAAGACCGCCCCGCCCACAGCCAGACCGGCCCCGCCCCCAACAGGGTCCTCGCCCAGCTCCACGACCCCGCCCCTCCGCTGCAGGTAGACTCCGCCCACCCCGCGACCGCCACGCCCACCACCAGGCAGGCCCGGCCCCCATCAGGGTCCTCTCCCAGCTCCACGACCCCGCCCCTCCGCTGCAGGTAGACTCCGCCCACCCCACCGACCGCCACGCCCACCGCCAGGCCGGCCCCGCCCCCTCGGGTCCTCTCCTGGCTTCGCGACCCCTCCACCGCTGTAAGTCGACTCTGCTTACTCCATCAACCCCCAGGCCCACCCCCAGGCCTACCCGCCCCCGCCGTTTCTGGCAGTTAACCCTGCCCTCCTGCTGTTCCGGGAGTCCAGTGTGTTTTACTCTCCTGTTTGTGCCTTTCCTTTTAAAGAGTAAACAGATACCCAGACCTACCCCCCATAAAATGACTAGGAGTCCTGTCCAGAGATCCAGGCTGGGGGGCGAGGCTGGAGGCCCAGGGACTAAGCGGTAAGAGGTTTTCAGGCAAGAGTGGGCGTCAGGGCGGAGGCAAGGCACCGCTTTCCTGCACTGGCCGAGTGAGGGTCGTTCCCATGCTCTTAAGGTCCGACGCAGGCCCCAAGGAAGTGTGCAGGAAGAGCCCCAGGCGCTTGCTGTGGGATGCGGTAGGAGCATGACCTGTATAGGCGGGTGCAGCGAGGCTGTGGCAGAGGCCCCAGCAGCGTCTGCTCCAGAGTGGGCAGCTGATTGCTGTTGAGTGGCGGAACAGGCATGGAGGAGTGGCCATGAGATTCATAGCATGGCCAGAGCTGATAGCCTTTACACAATCTCAGTGGAGTGGTAGAGATGGAAGCTCAGTTGAAGCTGGCGAAATGGAGGTGGGAAAGCGGAGAAAGCCGCCAGAGACTACTTTCCCTCTCTAGGTGCTGTGCTTCTGCCCTCCCTCACTTCAGAGCCTTTGCACAACCTGTTCCTTATGTCCAGTAGCCCGCTCCAGCCCTCCCTCTTCTCCAGCACCAGACCTGTGACTTGAGGCTGGTCCTTCAGATCTCAGCACTTCGTCACTTCCTCAGAAAGGCTCACTCTGTTTCCCTGGAATTTCAGGTTGGATCAGGGCCTCCCTTCATAGGCTTCTCCTCCTCCTCCTTTCTTTCTTCTTTTTTGAGTTGGAATCTCATTCTATTGCCCAAGCTGGAGTGCAGTGGTACAATCACAGCTAACTGTAGCCTCAAACTCCTGAGCTCAAGCGATCCTTTGGCCTCAGCCTCCCAAGTAGCTGGAATTATAAGCGATGGGCACCAGGTCTGGCTAATTTTTTTATTTTTCTTGTAGAATTGAGGTCTCATTATGTTGCCCAGGCTGGTCTCGAACTCCTGGGCTCAAGCAGTCCTCCCTCTTCGGCCTCCCAAAGTGCTGAAATGATAGGCGTGAGCCACCACGCCTGGCCCACCCTATCCTTACTGTTCTTCAAAGTTTTTAAGCATATGGTTTTGAGATTTAAAAAAGTACGGTATGGATTCCACTTACTCCTCTCCTTACACATTGGCTAGTAAACTCTGAGAGGATGAGTAATACTTGTTTAGCTTACCATCATATCATTAACACCTAACATTGCCTGGCACTTGGCAGCTGCTCAGTACACATTTGTTGAATGAATGTTTTCTTCAACATTTATAAGTGTAATATAATCTTGTGTTTTCTGGTGTTCGTTTTCTGAATAGGATCCTGACAACAATAAACCAAAATCCATTAGAATCATCTGGATTAATAATGCGGCTAAAAAAAAAAATACTTCTCTTTACATTACTTTTTATCTAAATCATCTGGGAAAACTTCACTTGTCAGATCAGTGCTGTTAGTCAGGAACTAGGTAACCATTTCCAAAGGTTTTAGACCAAAATTCGTATTACTTATGTTCCGTGTTATTTATTAGCGGTGAAACGTTGGATAAAGGAGTTCAACATTCTGGACCTTGGCTTCCTCCTCTGTAAAAAGGAGAAACTTACACCAACTGTGCCCGCTGCCTGGAATCATTATGGCAAAATTAGATGGTATATGCAAGAGCACTTTGAAAATTGTAGAGCTTCTTTTTTGCTGCTACTGTAAATAGAATTGTTTTCTTAATTTCTTTTGGACTTGTATTTAGAAACACAACTGATTTTTGTGGGATAATTTTGTGTCCTGCAATTTTGCTGAAATTATTTATTAATTGTAAAGTTTTGGCAGAATATTTAGAGTTTTCTAACATATGCGATGACATTGTCTACTAACAGAGATTATTTTACTTCTTCTTTTCCAATTTGGATGACTTTTTTTTTCTTGCTTAATTTCTCCAGCTAGGACTTCTAGGACTATGTTGAATAGAAGTAGAAAAAGCAGTATTCTTGTCTTGTTTCTGATCTTAGAAGAAAATTTTTTAGAATTTCACTATTCACATAATGGTGTTAGCTGTGAGTTTTTCATACATGGCCTTTATTATGTTGAGATAGTTTCTTTCTATTTCTAGTTTATGAGGTTTTAAAATCATGCAAAGATATTATGTTAGGGTTCTCCAAAGACACAGGACCAATAGGAAATATATAGCACATATATACAGAGGCTGCCAAAAAATGAATACACATTTTAAGCAAGGAAAAAACTATTAGGATTGTAATAATATATATTGATAACAAAAGATGAATACAGGTTATATTTGACTTCTACAATTATTAGAGGCGCTCAGAGTGGTTGCCATCAGAGTCCAGACACTTCTGACTATGGCAAACATCTCTTAATCTCTTAACATCTCTTAAAATGTGTATAAATTTTTTGGCACCCCCAGGATACACACACACACACACACACACACACACACATATAGGAGATACACACACACACACACACACATATGTACACGTGAATCTCACTTGGTCATGGTGTATGACACTTTTAATTAATTATTGAGTTTAGTTTGCTAGAATTTTGTATAGGTTTCTGCATCAATATTCATAAGAGCCCCGGCTGTCATGCCCATGGCGCAACCCATCACAAAGCCCATCTTCACACAGTCGAAGCAGCTAGGCTGGGACTGTCTGTAGGGACCCACAGCCACCGGCATCTGAGGGTTGTGACCCATGCTCCCCAGTCGGTGGTTCCACCTGACAGGATCGTGGCTCCTGGTCAGTGCTACGTCCACTCTACATGGATGCTGGAGACCAGCTCCAGCCGGGTTCAGGGTACCCCAAAGGTGGAGATGGCGTCGGCAATTGGGGGGAAGAAGAAAGAGAGAGAGAGAGAGAGAGAGAGAGAGAGAGAGAGAGAGAGAGAGAGAGAAAGAGACTGGACTAGTGCAGAAGCGATGTGAGTGTTATTGGGAATTACAACGGGTCTTTTGTACACAAAATCAGATGTGGGAGGGGCGTCCCCCACCCACCAGAAACCTTAATCCATGAAAACTTAATCAATGACTGCCTTTAAACCCTTTTCATGTGATAATATTAAAATCCCATAACAAAGGATAACCTAATCCGTGACTCACATATTCTATAAACTTTTTTCATCCTAAACTGATTGATTTATGCCAAGTTAAACAATTCTATAGAAGCTTAAGTATTTACTTTACAAATGAAAGTGGCCCATCCCAGAATGTTTGGAATGTGGCCCAGTCCAAAGTTCACAGTGGGCTAACTGCAAGTAACCCAGCCGCATTCTTTCAACAAAATGGTTGTCTTCTAAAACTATATTCTACAATTTACACCTTCAATAAATCCAAAGATCATGACCCAGAAGCCTGTGACCAATACCAAGGCTCTTAGATGTGACACGAATTTGAATTATAAGTTGTGTGAAAGCCAAAACTGCAGTTTGAGGAAGGATGGGAGCAATGAGCTTCTAAAGTTAGCTTGTGTTCATCCTGGTCTCAGAGTTTTTATATTTTGAGCTCACAGGAGCTTAATCTGGTTAGCGCTAAGTAGAAAGGGGGAGGAAATGGGGTCAATAGCCCCCAAACGCATCCTAGTGGTCTCGGGGTCCACGGCCCTTCCTGATCCCTAACGCTCAGTGGGCCTCCGTGGCCAGCTCCCAACACATGGATGTGCAAGCTACGACTCCACTGGACCCTCGGGTGCTTGATGCCATGCTCTCTTACCTTGTCAACTACTATGGGAACCCACACTCCCGGACGCATGCTTATGGCTGAGAGAGTGAGGCAGCCATGGAGCATGCTCGCCAGCAAGTAGCATCTCTCATTGGAGCTGATCCTCGTGAGGTCATTTTTATTAGTGGCGCGATCAAATCTAACAACATAGCAATTAAGGGGATGGCCAGGTTCTATAGATCACGGAAAAAGCACTTGATCACCACCCTGACAGAACACACATGTGTCTTGGACTCTTGCCGTTCACTGGAAGCTGAGGGCTTTCAGGTTACTTACCTCCAAGTACAGAAGAGTGGGATCATCGACCTGAAGGAACTCGAGGCTGCGATCCAGGAAGACACTAGCCTGGTCTAGTCATGACTGTGAACAATGAAATTGGAGTGAAGCAGCCTATTGCAGAAATAGGGCAGATTTGCAATTCCAGAAAGGTGTATTTCCATACGAATGCAGCCCGGGCTGTTGGAAAAATCCCACTTGATGTCAACGACATGAAAATCGATCTCATGAGTATCAGTGGTCACAAAATCTATGGTCTGAAAGGAGTTGGTGCCATTTACATCCTTTGCCGGCCCCGTGTGCGTGTGGAGGTCCTGCAGAGTAGAGGGAGGCAAGAGCAGGGTATGCGGTCTGGGACAGTACCCATACCCTTAGTGGTGGGGTTGGGGGCTGCGTGTGAGGTGGCACAGCAAGCGATGGAGTATGACCATAAGCGGATCTCAAAGTTAGCAGAGCGGCTGATACAGAAAATAATGAAGAGCCTTCCAGATGTGGTGATGAATGGAGACCCCAAGCACCACTACCCTGGCTATCAATCTCTCATTTGCCTATGTGGAAGGAGAGAGTCTGCTGATGGCACTGAAGGATGTCACCTTATCCTCGGGGAGTACCTGCACCTCTGCGCCCTTGGAGCCCTCTTATGTCCTTAGAGCAATTGGCACTGATGAGGATTTAGCACATTCTTCCATCAGGTTTGGCGTCGGCCGCTTCACTACAGAGGAGGAAGCGGACTATACAGTGGAGAAATGCATTCAGCATGTGAAGCGTCTCCAAGAAATGAGCCCTCTCTGGGAGGTGGTTCAGGATGGCATTGACCTCAAGAGTATAAAGTGGACCCAACACTAGAAGAATGGGCCCCTGACTCATCAACCCACATATAGCCATGCCCCTTGTTATGCCCAATGGATGCTCCAGAATTGGTGTAGGCCAGTTGTTTTCAACATCAACCCACTTCTATGACAGAAACACAAGGAAACTATCTTTCCCCAGCTTCAGGTCCTCTGGTGGGGAACACTCTCCATTTCTCTCCAGGAGTTTTTCTGTCCTCTTACAATGTGTGGACATTTTCATCCTGAAGCAATAGAAACACTTGTTATGATATTGCTGCTGGACATCTCTGTGTCCTTGGTGGGGAGAGCAAGAGGAACCAGAAGAAGGTTCTTTGTTCAGGGACCCCGGCTCTACAAGGAGGACATTTGAGTCATCACTTTCTGCTACTCAACTGGACTGGCTTCTTCAACAATTACATAATCAACTACAATTGAATGTTTTTTGTATCTCCAAAGATATCTCTTCATTGACTGTAGACTGAACAGCGAGTTTCTTAGAAGGCTTGTCTCCTTTCTACTCTTTTCTTTCCTTTATTTTCACCTAATGCAGTTATAAATATTTATATGACTCCACCCATCAAAAAATATTCATAAAAAATATTGGTCTGTGCATTCTTTTCCTGTGGTGTCTTAGTCTGGTTTTGGTATCAGGGTAATGCTGGCCTCATAGAAGGAGCTTGGGATGGTTCCCTCTTTAATTACATAGAAGAGTTTGAGGAGGATTGATGTTTCTTCGTTAAATATTTAATAGGATTCTCTAGTGAAGCTATCTGGTCCAGGGTTTCTCTTTGCTGGGAAGTTTTTGATTACTGGTTCAATATCCTTACTACTAATAGGTCTGTTTGGAATTTGTATTTCTTTAAGATTTGTTCTTAGTAGGTTGAGTGTTTCTGAGAATTTATCCATTTCTTCTAAGTCATCCAAGTTACTGGTATTTAATGATTCATAGTATTTGTTTATAATCCTTTTGATATCTGTGACATGAGTTTAATGCCCCCTCTTTCATTTCTTTTTTTGTGTGTGTGTTGGAGTCTCACTCTGTTGCCCAGACTGGAGTGCAGTGGCATGCTCCGGGCCACCACAGCCTCGACCTGCTGGGCTCTGGCGATCCTTCCGCCTCAGCCTTCCAAGTAGCTGGAACTATGGGTGTGTGCTACCCGGCTTGGCTAATTTTTTTCATTTATTGTAGAGACGAAGTCTCATCAAGTTACCCAGGTGGGTCTCGAACCCGGGGGCTCAGGCAATCCACTTGCCTCAGCCTCTCAAAGTGCTGGGATTACAGACTGAGCCACCGAGCCTGAACCCCCTCTTTCATTTCTAATTTTAACTATTTAAATCTTCTGTCTTTTTTTCTTAGTCTAGCTAAGGGCTTCACAATTTTATTGATCTTGTAGCAAACAAACAAACAAAACAGAATAAAAATAAAAAACCCCTCTTTTTTGTTAGGCTCTTTTTCCTATTATTTTTCTATCCTTGATGCCATTTATCTCTATTTTAATCTTTATTGTTTTCTTCCTTTTGCTAACTTTGGGTTTAGTTTGTTCTTTTCTAGCTCCTTGAGAGGTAAGTTTAGATTGTTAATTTGAGATCTTTCCTCTTTTGTAATGGAAGTGTTTACTGTCATAAATTTCCCTCGTCCTACTGCCTTCACTGTAGTTCATAAGTTTTAGTATGTTGTATTTTATTTTCATTTATCTCCAGATATTTTCTAAGTTCCCTTGTCATTGCTTCTTTGGTTCATTGGTTATTTAAAAATCTGGTGTTTATTTTTTACATTTGTATAGTTTCCTGTTCTTCTTCTGCTATTAATTTCTAGTTTTATTCCATTGTGATTAGAGTACATACTTTGAATGATTTCAGTCTTCCTAAATTTGTTAAGACATGTTTTTTGGCTTAACATGTTGTCTTTCTTGGAGAATGTTCCATGTGCCCTTGAGAAGAATGTATATTCGGTTATTATTGGGTGAAGTGTTGGGTCGTATGTTTGTTAGGTCCAACTGGTCTATAGTGTTTTTCAAGTTTTCTGTTTCCTTATTGATCTTCAGCCTGATCATTCTATTCATTATTAAAAGCTGGATAACTGAAGATTCCTGCTGTTATTGTGTTGCTGTCTACTTCTCCCTTCAGTTCTGATGATGTTTACTTCACATATTTGAAAGTTCTAATGTTAGCTGCATATATATTTGTAATTATTATATCCTCCTTGTGAAGTGACTTTTTTGTCATTAAATGATACTCTTTTTTTTGTCTCTTTGTTTTTGTCTTAAAATTTATTTTATCTAAGTATAGCCACCCCTGTTCTTTATAGATTCCCATTTGTATGGAATATATTTTTAACCCTTTAACATTTAGCTATTTGTGTTCTTGGAACCTAAGTAAGTCTTTTGTAAAAAGCGTAGATTTTAGACCTTGTTTAAAAAAAAAAAAAATCTAGCCGGGCTCAGTGGCTCAGCCTGTAATCCCGCGCCTTGGGAGGCTGAGGTGAGTGGATTGCCTGAGCCTGCGGGTTCGAGGTCCGCCTGGGCAATTTGGTGAGACCTCATCTCTACAATAAATCAAAAAAATTAGCCGGGCGTGGTAGCGCGCACCTGTAGTTCCAGCTACTTGGAAGGCTGAGGCGGAAGGATCGCCAGAGCCCAGCAGGTCGAGGCTGCGGTGACTGGGAGAGGCCACTGCACTCCAGTCTGGACAACAGAGTGAGACTCCAACTCAAAAAAAAAAAAAAAAAATCTGTCCAGCCAACCTATGTCTTTTAAATGGCATGTTTAATCAATTTACATTTAAAGTAACTATTGATAGGAAAGGAGTTACTGCTACCATTTTGCCAATTGTTTTCTGTACCTTGTGTAGCTGCTTTGTTCTTCGTTTCTTCTTTTACTGCCTTCTTTGGTGTTTTGTTGATTTTTTGTAGTGATATGTTTTGATTCTCATCTCATTTCTCTTCGTGTGTGTTCTATAGATATTTTCTTTGTTGTTACCACTGCAACTATGTAAAACATCTTAAGTTATAACAAACTAAGACTGATTAACAACTTGACTTCAATCATGTCTAAAAATTCTACACCTTTACATCTCTGCCGCCACTTTGCTATTGATGACACATATTACTTTTTTTATATTATGTATTTATTAACATAGACTTATAACTACTTTTATGCTTTTTAAGAATCCAATACCAGGCCAGGCTTGGTGATTCAGCCCGTAATTCCAGCACTTTGGGAGGCTGAGGCAAGTGGATTGCCTGAGCCTGAGGGTTTGAGACCAGCCTGAGCAACTTGGCGAGACCTCATCTCTACAATAAATAAATTTGAAAGAAAATTAGCCGGGTGTGGTAGCACATACCTGTAGTTCCAGCTACTTGGAAGGCTGAGGTGGAAGGATCACCTGAGTCCAGCAGGTCAACGCTGGGGTGGCAGTGAACATGCCACTGTACCCCAGCTTGGATGACAGTGAGACTCCAACTCAAAAAAAAAAAAAAAAATCAAACTAGCCGGGTGTGATAGCGCGCACCTGTAGTACCAGCTACTTGGAAGACTGAGGCGGAAGGATCACCAAAGCCCAGCAGGTCGAGGCTTCAGTGACTGGGAGCAGCCCTGCACTCCAGTCTGGGTGACAGGGTGAGACTCCAACTAAAAAAAAAAAAAATCTGCCCATAATTTAATAGGAACTTCCTTGTACCTGATCAGTCACTTTTCCCTTGCTGTTCTTTTTGTTCATGACTTTTTAACAGTTTAATTATGATGTGTCTTGGTGTAGGTCTCTTTATATGTATTCTAGTTGGTGTTCTTTAAGCTTTTTTAATTTGAATGTCTAGTCTTTCCTTCATAGTTTGAATGTTTTCAGCAATTATTTCTTCAAATAATCGCTTTGCCCCTTTTTTAAATTCTCCTTCTGTGACTCTTATAATGCGTATTTTGTTCTGCTAGATAGTGTCCCAGAACTCCCTTAGATTCTCCTTATATTCCTTCATTCTTCCTTCTTTTTGTGCTTCTGCTTTGGTAATTTCAAAAGTCCTATCTGAGTTCACTGATTCTTTCTTCTGTCTAGTCAAGTCTGCTGTTGAGCCCACTAGTGAATTTTTCAATTCAGTTATTGTATTCTTCAGTGCAGAGTTTCTCTTTTGTTATTCTTTATAGTTTTTATTTCTGTTGATATTCTCTTTTGTTCATGAAATTTTTTTCTGTTTTCATTAAGTTGTCTATCTGTGCTCTCATTTAATTCCATTGAGCATCCTTATAACAGTAATTTTAAAATCTATTTCTGGTAATTCTTATACCATTGTTTCTTCAGGGTTCATATCTGAAGATTTAATTTGTTTGTTTAAACATGCCATATTTTCTGTTTCTTTGTATAGTTTGTTATGTTGTTGTTGTTGTAGTTGGGATATCAGCATTTGAAAAACCAGTCACCTCTCTGAGACTTTGTAATCTGATTTTGTATAGGGGATATTGTCTTTATTCTTTCCAGCTAGAGATTCTGAAGACCTCTTAAGCCTTTTCTTGGAACGTGCTCTCTTTGGACTTGTGCAAAGTATTTTTTGTGCTCAAAAGAGAATGAAGCTAGAAATTAACAACAAAGAAAAACTGGAAAGATTCACAAATATGTGGAAATTAAACAATGCATTATTAAATAAGCAATGGATCTAAGAAGAAATCATATGGGAGATTAGAAAATATCTCGAGGCAGCTGAGCATAAAAACACAGCATAACAAAACATGTGGGATGCAGCAGAAGCAGTGCTAAGATGGAAATTCTAACTTTAAATACATTAAAAAAGAAGAAAGATCCCAAATCAGCATCTTAAGGAAGCAGAAAAAGAAAAATCTAAAACCAATCATAGCAGGAGAAGAAAATAAAGATTAGAATAGATATAAGTAGGATAGAGATATAAGTAGAATAGAGAAATCAATCTAACCAAAAGTTTATTCTTGAAAAGATCAGCAAACTTGATAAAACTTTAGCTAACTTGGCTAAGAAAAAAGAGAAATAACTCAAATAATTAAAATCAGAAAGAGAAGAGGGAACATTACTG